AAAAAATTATCACTTTCATGGATAATTTCCATAAAAAATAAAATCAAACGGACACCAAACTTTCAACATTTTTCAGGTGGAAAATTATATCAATCAAACACAATTAATTACAATTCTCAATAAAACAATTTCTAAGCAATTCAATTCTCTATAAAACATTTTCTTTCCACTCATTTTCTACGTTTGCAATCAAACGGACCCTATCATAAAATGACACCTATGTATTACATAGACGGTTATTTATTCATTTCTCCCCTCAATTCACTCACCAATTCAGTGGAATTTATAAGGAAGTACTCAACTTTTACATAGGCTTCACTTATACACTAATCTTTTTTCTTTTAATTTGATTGAAAACTCAATAATTATTGCTCTCTAAACTAAGTGTTAGAGCTTGATCCTTAACAAAGTGGTTGGTATGTGCTTTTAAGATCCACTTTTGAGGAATTTAGATTTTGCAATTTTGTAGAGTAGATTACAACTTTCTTATAATTTCACAAATGGTCATTGTTGTGTAATAATATCAAGTGTGCCATGTCAATTAAACTAGTATAGTGGATCTAAAGATGTCGTATTATCGTTTTCTCAAGGATTATCTATTTTAATGATTAATCTAACTATTCCTAGCTTCTTTTAATTTGGAGTTTTCATACAATAATCAATATTTAAACAAATTAAGTAGTAATCAATTCAAATTAACGCTTAAATATTCAGTTTTGTTGGCCCAAATAGATGTAGAAACTACTTTTATCAAAATATAACATTTTCTTCTATTTTCTTATTAAAGCTTTGTAAAATGATAAATATATCATTCTCTTCAAACAAAATAAAATACAAAGAACAAAAAAATACAATAGTAGTCCCAAAATTTTCGAAAAAGTACAAATGAATCCCAAATAAATTATTTAAAAAATAAAAATAAAAAATATATTTCTCCCCCAACCTGCCACATCTTCCTCCTACCCCCACCACCTCTCCCTTTGAAATATTTTTTTGAAATATTGAAATAAATAATTCGCTCTACCTTTCTAGCTAAATAATACAATATTTTTCTAAAATATTGATAGAATGTAAAGGCGTTCTTCTTCAAGAGTTACGACACAATATTTAAGAAATGAAATAAACTTTGAGTATTACAAATTCTTTAAAAAAATAAATCTGCAAATTTTTGTTCTAAAAAAAATTTACGATCTTCTAATCAATTCAAAATTCGCCAGTGTTCAATTAGAGATTTCTCATAAATGAACCGTTAGATCTTTATCTTAATCGTTGGATTTGAGTTGTTAACCGAATGTCCAAATTTCACGACGATCGGACCTTTATGATATATTAACGTTTAATCACCGGTGCAGGCTATCCAAATTCTGAGAATTTTCTGCATTTTTTATTTGAAATTTTCTCTATTTTTTGTGAGCTCCTTCGTGTTGATAACGTATTATAAAATTAAAAGAACAAGGAGAGAAATATAAGAGAAGAATAAAGAGAAAATCAAAACTCATGTTTGTATTTTAATAAGAACCAGAACTCCATATTTATAATTCAAAATGAGAATTAGATTCAGAGTAGAATAAACTCTTTTAGAGTGTATATGATTTATTTAAGTATTTTGATAAAATCAAAGAATCATCAATAATTATACTACAGTTTTAATACA